ATGGTACATATAAATGGCATAAATGGATTAAAAGGAAATAGTAATAAATGGCATAAATGGACTAACAAAAAATAGTAATAAATGGCATAAATGGACTAAAAGAAAGTATTTAATAAATGGAGTAAATTGAATAAAAGAAATAGTAATAAATGGCATAAATGGACTAAAAGAAAGTATTTAATGAATGGAGTAAATTAAATAAAAGAAAGTTAAAAGAAATAATGAAGCAGCAAATAAAGAATAAGACTAAGCCAGCTGCGTCTGCTGCAGACGGCCCAGCTGCTGCAGCGCGGGCGTCAGCCGCTGCTGCAGGTACAGCAGCTGCTCCTCCTGCGCGCAAAGCGAAAAGTTTATTTTAAAAATAAAAATAAAAATAAATAAAATAAAAATAAAATAAAAAGAAAAATAAAAATGAATAGACAAAAAGACGCAAAGATTGGCAGCGGGCAGCCAGCCAGCCAAAAGGCGGGGCAGGAAAAAGGCAGCAAACTGAAATTCCGGTCGAATTTAATGATTTAAAAAGCATTTTAATTCTTTTTGGATTTAATTTTGCTTTTAAATGCAAATAAAATGTTTTAAACTCACCTCGGAGCGGCAGCGCCGCCACTGCCAGTACTCGACGGTGACGGGCAGAAAGCCTTGCAAGTTGAGGTGTCTGTACACCTCAGCAACAGCACAAGTTCAGCTTTTGCAACTTTTTCATTTTCGACTTTTATTCGGTTTTTTGGCTCCTTTTTCGCTGCTTTTTTCTGTTTCCGCGTTTAATTTTGCATTTTCGTTCAACAGAATGCAGAATTAAGTTCAATTAAGTTCAATTAAGTTCGGTTTCCGCCAGAGTTCGCCTCGGAATTCAAGTTTCCGCGCAGTCCGCCCCGCAAAGAACTGCTTGCCTGTGCTTGAGCCTGCACGGAGCGTGTCTGTAAATCATTTCCACTTCGACAATTATTTTCGTTTCTTCATCAAAGAAGTCCACTCGGTAGCCGCCGCAGCTGCTGCTGCGCTGCAGCTGCAGCCGGTAGGGGCCCCGCAGCAGCTCCAGGCACAGCGCCACTTCTGCATGCAGACCACTGGTCTCCTGCCGGTCCTGCAGCTGCCGCGCTGCAGCAGCAGCAGCAGCAGCAGCAGCGGCAGCAGCAGCAGCAGCAGCAGCAGTACTTGCTTGGGAACTTCGAAATGAACAACAAAAGGGATTTCGCAGCAAAACGAACTGCTGCAGGCGTCTAAAAGGTTCAATTTATCGCAGCAAATGAATAAAAAGAATTAAATTGCTTTTTAAACTTTTAATTTAAATTAAATTAAATTAAATAAAATAAAAACACAACAACCCCACCTGCCTCTTCGCAGGCCGTCCGCCACGCCAAAGGCATTTGGCTGCTGCAGCTGCGCAGTTCGAGTTCTGCTGTCTTTTGAATTTCTTGAATTTTCATTAGCAAATTTCTGTTTCAAAACAAAATTAATTAATTAATTAATTAATTAATTAATAATTAATTAATTAATTAATTAATTAATAATTAATTAATTAATTAATTAATTAATTAATTAAATTCATTTCCATTTATTCCCAACTTCCTGCTCCCTGCAAAGCCCGCTGCGCCCCAGAAAGGCCCTGGGACTGAAGCCCTAGGGTTTAGGGTTTAGGGTTTAGGGTTTAGGGTTTGCTGCTGGGCGCACCTGTCTCTGGAGACCGGCTTCGAGTATATTTCATTCAGCAGCCGCTGCAGCAAACTCGCCTTATCTGTCGCAGCAGCAGCAAAGAAGAAAAGGGTTTAGGGTTTAGGGTTTAGGGTTTGAGGATTCACTGGGAAGCAAATCAGCTCTCGCTTGTCTCCTCTTGTCGTTTTGCTGCTGCTGCTGCTGCAGCAGCAGCAGCAGCAGCAGCTGCTGCTGCAGCAGCAGCAGCGGCAGCAGCAGCTGCTGCTGCTTACCTTGAAGCTGGAAGTAGCAAATTGCGTAGGCGGCCTCCACCAAGGCGGCGATGCCCAGCGTGGGGTGTCGTGCTGCAGCAGCAGGAGCTGCAGCAGCAGCAGCAGCAGCAGCAGCAGCACCTGCTGCTGCTGCTGGGAGCGCCTGCTCCACGTGCTGCAGCAGCTCCAGCAGCAAATCCAAAATGCCGCTGTGAGGGGGCCCCAAGTCGCAGAGGGCGAGGCCCCCCAGCAGCATGGCGCTTCTGTGGGGATTCCACCCTTGCTGCTGCTGCTGCTGCTGCTGCTGCTGCTGCTGCTGCTGCGTGCTGCAGTCGATTCGGAAGTGCTGCAGCAAAGTGTCGCAGTTCGCGGGGGTGAGGAAGCGCAGCCGCGCCAAAGACCGCAGCAGCAGCAGCAGCTGCTGCTGGTTGAACTTGTGCAGATTTTCAAAGGCCAGCGAACTCAGCTGCCGCAGCAAAAAGCCCCGAGCCAGCCTGCGCAAACCCCAAACCCTAAACCCTAAACCCTAAACCCTAAACCCTAAACCCTCGACTGCAGGGCGAAGACGTGCGCAGCAGGCGAAAGCAGCTTTCAGCGCTGCCAGCCACCGCGCAAACCCCAAACCCTAAACCCCAGCCCCAAACCCTAAACCCTAAACCCCAAACCCCAAACCCTAAACCCTAAACCCTAAACCCTAAACCCTCGCGGACCCCATGGCGGCGAGGGCGTCGACAGCAGCAGTGACGTCTGCTGCAGTGAAGGAGTTGATTTCTTCGCTCATTCGCTGCAGCAGCAAATCGCAAGTGCTGCGGCTGTAGGCCCCCCAGCGGCGCATTGCATGCAGCAGCAGACACAAGTCCTGCGGCAGCAGCTGCTGCTGCTGCTGCTGCACTTGGCCCCACACGAACTGCAGCAGCTCCGAGTCCCGCACTTGCAGCAGCGCGAGAGCAGCAGCAGCAGCAGCTAAGGCCCGCGGAGACAAACTGTCCCCGCGAGCCACCACCTCCCGGCCCAGCTGCGACGCCAGCTGCAGCAGCAGCAGCAGCAGCAGCAGCAGCAGCAGCAGCAGCAGCAGCAGCAGCAGGTCGGAAGAATTGGAGCGCAGCAAAGTGGATTTAAACGGCAGCAAACGGATTTAAATGAATTTAAAACGAATTAAAGTGAAATAAAGTCCATTTAAATCCATTTAAATGAATTTAAATGATTTAAAATGATTTAAAATGATTTAAAATGATTTAAAATGATTTAAAATGAATTAAATGAATTAAAATGAATTAAATGAATTAAATGAATTAAATGAACTAACCTGCTGCGTGGCCAAATTAGAAATTCGGAGAAGAGCCAAAGAGCTGGCGATCTTCGACAGCAGCCGGCCATCTGCTTCTGGCAGCAAAAGTCCGATTTGCTGCAGCAGCTGCTGCAGCTGCTGCTGCTGCTGCGGGTCTTGCTGCAGCGCAGCAGCAGCAGCAGCGCCGCGGCTCGCCCGCGCTAGCTGCTGCAGCACCTGCTGCAGCGTCGCCAGGTCGTGTGCTGCGCTGCTGCAGGCGAACTGCAGCAGCTCTGCGGGCTGCTGCAGCAGCGCAGCAGCAGCAGCGCGGTCCCCAGGAGCAGCAGGAACATTGTGCAGCAAACGCGCCGCCCCCCTGCTGCTGCTGCTGCTGCTGCTGCTGCTGCTGCTGCTGCTGAGGGCCACGCGCGCTCCCGCTACGGCCAGGCTGCCTTCGCCCGAAGAGAGCGTGAGCGGTGTCTTCGCAGTTGCTGCTGCTGCTGCTGTTGCTGCTGCTGCTGTCCTTGCTGCTGCTGCTGCTGCTGCTGCTGCTTCCAGGGGCCTCCGGGGGCGCAGCTGCAGCAAGGGGGGCCCCCGGGGGCCCCAGCTGCGGCCCAGCGCCGCCTCAATGAGGGGCAGCATAGAGCGGGGAAATAAAAAAGAAGCTGCAGCAAATTAGTTTAGGAAAAATGAAATTTGAGCCCCAAACCCTAAACCCTAAACCCTAAACCCTAAACCCTAAACCCTAGACACTAAACCCTAGACCCTGAGGGCCCCCTGGGCTCTCGGGAGCCGCGGGCGAGCCGCAAGTGACAAGAAGAGGAGCAAAAAGTATTTTTATTTTGGATTTTAATTTGAAGTTTTTGAAACTGAAAAGCGAACTGGAAGACTGCGGGGAGGCGGGGCTGTACGTACACCGCAGGGCGCTGCGGTGTATGTACAGCCCGATCTGATTGTGGAAAACGGAAAAGAGGAAAAGTCGAATAAAAGGAAAATTGAAAACAAAAGAAAGTTTAAATGTTTTAAAACTCCAATTGAATACTTTGGGGCCTTTCGAGATCTCTTCAAAGCAGCTTTCCAACAGATCTTCTGCTGCAGCTCTTCGCAGTTGCCGACTGCGGACTTCGCCGCAGACTCGTCGCTAAAAAAATATTAAATGCCATTTAATTGAAATAATTTCCAAAATTAATTCAAATTTCAAATTTTAAAAAACAAAAAAAGACAACTTCCCCCGCGATCTTCCGCTTGCGCGCTCCGAGTCTCGAGTAGTTCCCCAGCCACCAACGGAGGCGATCTGAGGGGAAACTGCAGTTAAATTGAAATTAAAAAGAAAAAAAGCAAAAAGAAAGATTTAAATAAACTAAAAATAAACCAAGACATTTAAATCGGCTTGCAATGGCGCCTCCCGGTGGCCGAGTCGCCGCGGCTTCGCCGAAAAGATGAAGAAAAAAAAGGAAACAAAATTGTTTTAGTGAAGTCCATAATGCCGAACTTTGCAAAATTCAGAATTTTGGCTAAGTTTGAGGGCACAGCCGACGCCTCTGGCCCAAAAACGAAGAAAAATGAAATTGAATTTGCAAAACGGAATTCCCTAGTTGAACGCCGCTGCGCTGCGGTGTACGTACACCGCAGCGGCGTTCGCAGCAAATTGAAATTCAAATCGAAAAGAGCCTCCCCGCATTCCGCCCGCGAGTCCTTTTTAGCAATATTTGCAATTAATTAATTGATTTGCAATTGTGATCGCCCTCAAAGACGTTCCGAGTTTCGCTGTAGCTTGCGGTGTACGTACAGCTTGGGGTGTACGTGCCAAGTTGCGGTGTACGTACACCTCAGTTCAGCGCGAGCTTTTCCGCGTCGGCGAGGAGGGCGTTGAGCTGGTGATTTATTTCATTTTTCGTTTCTTTTTGGTCTTTTGTGTCTTCTTTTTCTTTTAATAATTCATTTCTCAACTTTAAACTTCGAATTCTTCTTCTGCGCTCGTCTTCCAGCTCTTGCGCCTTCGCCCAGTGTTGCTGGCAAATCAAAACGTCAAATTCGTCTTCGCCGAAATTCGAAGACGAAACCAAACTTGAATTTTCCTTTTCAACTTTTTCAACTTTTTCAAGTTTAACTTTTTCAACTTTTTCAACTTTTTCTTTTTCAACATTTTCCTTTTCAACTTTTTCTTTTTCAACTTTTTCTTTTTCAACTTTTTCTTTTTCAAGTTTTTCAACTTTTTCTTTTTTTATGAAACTTCCCCAAGACGCAGCCACGGCCCCCGCGACCAGCAGCCACCGCTCGAAGTCATTTGCTGCATTTAAACCACAAAAAGAAAACAAATTAATAAAACAATTTAATTCAGTTTAATTAATTTGATTTAATTAATTTAATTTAATTTAATTAATTTAATTTAATTTAAAAATTGAATTCAATTAAAATTGAAAAAGCTCTCTACATCGCCGCCGCTGCTGCGGGACGCCGCAGCAGCCAAATAATCCGCAAAATGCAAATTACAAAAATTAAATTTTTTTTTAAAATTAGATATTTAAAAAATGAAAAAAAGAAAATAAAAGTGCAGCAGAAGAAGCAGCAATGAAGCAGCAAAATGAGACTGAGACACAAATCCGAAGCAGCAGCAGCAGCAGCAGCAGCAGCAGCAGCAGCAGCAGCAAAACTGAACTTTGAAGTTGCTTCAAAAAGCCAAATAGACAAACTGCTCCATAACCAGCGGCAAAAGCAGTGAACAGCCCAGCAATTAATTAATTAAATAAAATAAATAATTAATTTAATTAAATAATTAATTTAATTATTTAAATTAAATAATTAATTAATTATTAATTTAATTAATTAATTAAACGCACAAGAAACGTCTTCGAACAATTGGCGTTTTTTCACGAAGTCCGAAACTGCTGTTTCGCTCAAACCAACTTCGAGGCGAAGAGCTCCGCGGCCTCCTCTTGCTGCAGCAACAAACTCTCTTGCTGCTGCTGCTGCTGCTGCTGCATCTGCGTCTCCGTTGCAGCTCACTTTGCTGCTGCTGCTGCTGCTGCTGCTGTTGCTGCTGCTGCTGCTGTTGCTGCTGTTGCTGCTGCTGCTGCTGTCGTTGCTGCTGCTTTTGCTGCTGCTGTTGCTGCTGCTGCTGCTGCTGCTGCTGCTGCTGCTGCTGCGTCTGGGCAAAAGGGGCACTTGAATAAGTTGGTTGAAGTGGGAAAAGGAATACTTGTGCGTCAGCAGCAGCACAGCGCAGTCGCAGCAAATTGAATGAACTGCAGCAACAAAGTCATAAGGCACAGCCCCCTCAGCAATCTGTGGGGCCGACGCACACGCAGCAAACAAATAAAATAAAATTAATTAAAATAAAATAAAATAAAATAAAATAAATTAAAATTATTTAAAATTAATTAAAGCAAAATAAAATGCTGCAGCAATTCTTGTAATTGAACAGCCGTGGGACTGCCACGCGGCCGCGCTAGCTGCTGCTGCTGCTGCAGCAGCAAAATTCGCCACGAAGTGAAATGAATTAAATTAAAAACAAATTTAAAACAAATTTAAATAAAATATTAAAAACTGAGAAAATCCTATTTATTCAAAGGCCAAGGTTTGCATGCAAACAGAAGCAGCAGCAGCAGCAGCAGCAGCAGCAGCAGCAGCAGCAGCAGCAGAGCCACAAACAACACCCACCAGCGTCTGCAGCGCACTAATGTTCTTTCCGATTTGCCGCCGCTGCTGCTGCTGCTGCTGTTGCTTCTGCTGCTCCTGCTGCTGCTGCTGCTTCTTCTGCGCAGCGGCGGCTTCAGCATCCGCCGCTGGGGCAGCAGCAGCAGCACCACCAGCTGCTGCTGCTGCTGCTGCTGCTGCTGCTGCTGCCTTTTTCTCCAAAAAGATATCTATTTCCTTTCTCTCCAAAGACTTCGGCTCATCCACCAGCAGCACAGCGCCGTGCGGCAGCTGCAGCGCTGCTGCAGCTGAAAGCCACAGACATGAACAACACATAAATAAATAATAAATAATAAATAAATAAATAAATAAATAAATAAATAAATAAATAAATAATGAAAAAGAGACAATTAAACCAAAAAAATCCATATGAGAAAAAGCGCAATTTGGCAACTTGAAGGCGGCTGGGCTGTACATACAGCTCAGACGCGAGCGCGAGTGTCAGAGTTCATTTCGAAGATAAATAAAACAAAAAAGAATTAAAAAATAAAAAAATGAAAATAAATAAAAATAAAAAGAAAAATAAAATCAAAATAAGATAATTTAGAAGACAAAAAGACAAAGAGAAGACAGAAACGCGGCAAGAGGAAAGCCAAGGCTCAAGCTGCTGCGCTTGCGCGAAAAAGGGAGAAAAGACCCGAAAAAGGACAAAAAAGACTCCGTTTTTAATTCTTTTGCAATATTATTCAAATAATTAATTATTTTAATTCTTTTTAGAAGAAAAAAGCAAAAAAAATGGTGAAAAATACACAAAATGTCGTCTGCTGCTTCGCCGTCCGACAGCAGCAGCTCAGGGCCAAAGCGCTGCTGCAGCAGCACCTCCGGGTGTACAGACACCGCAGAAGCACAGGGCACCTGAACAGAAGCAGCAGCTGCTGCACTTGCTTTTGTGCAGAAAGCCAGAAGCGAAAGGAAGACAAGAGCAGCAGCAGCAGCAGCAGCAGCAGCAGCAGCAGCAGCAGCAGCAGCAGCAGCAGCAATAGCAGCAGCAGCACTAAAAGCAACGAGAGCAGCAGCTGCAACGGCCGAGCAGCATGCAGCAATGTAGAAGAACAGAACTCATCAGCAAATAAACAGGGCCTGACTCTCAAGCTGCTGCTCCTGCTGCTGCTACTGCTGCTGCTAGATTCTGCTGCTGCTGCTGCTGCTGCTGCTGCTGCTGCTGCCAGTGGCTCAAGTTGCTGCTCTCACCAGCTCTCTGCAGACCTTCAGCAGCTGCTGACTTGCCCGTGAGAGAAAAGGGCAGACGCAGGACTCCGCGGTGTCATCTGCTGCTGCTGCTGCTTCTGCTGCTGCTGCTGCTGCTGTTGCTGCTGCTGCGAAGTCCACACACCGAGTGCCTTCCCCAGCAACGCAGC